GAATTCTCCGTAGGGTTTCCGAGGTCTCCTCCTTGTGTGGTAAACTACTGATGATTTAGATTTAGATTTATTGTTGGTGTTATGTTGCGCACATTTGACATGCATGTCGTCATTAATATTACTATGAGTATTATTATTACCACTATCACTATTGTTATTTTTACATTTCCATACATGCATACATATGCATGGGATAAGAGAACAGTTTTAAAATCTAATGTAATAACATGGTGGAGGGAGAGATTGTTAACAGAAGCTTTATTTATCTAACGAACTGAGAGAGAATACGTGTAATAGGAATGATTCAACACCGGTCTAAATGGACATCTGGAAAATTCTACTACCCAAACGATGGCAAATAGGAGAGGACACAGAGAACTATAAAAGTCAAGTCTCTAAGTCGTGTGATCATAATTGATGACATGATTATGAACAGCAATAAATTGTGTTCGAAACTTCGTCATCCAGTAAATAATACGACTGTTTCACTGTGTGATGATACATCTAATAAGCAAACTAATTTGGAATTACTTACTACCACAGTGCCCAAGTTTTACACATATATTAACTGGACAGTTTCAGTTTACGAAGGAATATGTAGTGAAATCTTACCTCACATTGTGTAAATTGCAAATTAATTTGAAAATTGCGAATTTGATTCATCATGTTAGCGATTCACTAAAGTAGATAGCCAGAAATCAGGTGTGGTTTGAAATGATTGGGCTCTCTGAGCTAAGTCGAACGGAGTGCACTGGCAATGAGATCAACACCAAACAATGGAAACGGCTGCTCTGAGTTTAGATAACCTCGATCTGGATAGCCGGCCGGTGTGTCAGTGGTGTGCAACTACTCATTTCAATAAATCAGTAGTATATAGTTTTATGCAAAAATAAGTTTTGGAAAGCGTTAAATTAGGTTATTTAGTTCATCTTAATTCAGTGTAAAATGAATAATTTTCTGTTCTGTTCACGCTATCCATGGTGTAAATTAGTGTAATTGGTGATAACTGAAGATGAAGTTAAAACTTCAGTCATAGTTAGTCATGTATAACTTATTTTGGTAATAACTGGAAAAAACCCTTGGTTGGTGAAGGGTAATGTAAACTCGGTTAGACAGAGTACTAAGCTAATAATCCAGAGAAAAGTGGTCTGCACATCTCTGTGATACATAGCTCTACATCACTTTCATTCAGTAGTGACTACGTTGGTCATAATCCACTAGAGGGCTATTCTAAGTGGACTCACCAACTACCACACCAAAATATTTGGAACCTTAGAGGATCGGTGTTCACGTGCTGTTGAGAGTATGGTCGGCTTGTCGTAGAGGACCTGGCTAATTCAAACTCTTTTTGAGGCACTTTACTCAAAGTTTCTCTAGTTTATTCCGAGAAGCTGTAAAATTTCCATTCCTGTGGAAGTTAGTTACACTTACTACGGCTTTTCTAAGGCCCATTTTCTTATTAGTATAAGCAGGTGATGAGCGTTACTCAAATAACACTGTACTTGTGAGATAGAAATAAATAAATAAAGCAGCTGAAAAGGAATGAAATACCTATGATCATTATTTGTCTAATTCCTAAGGAAGGGAGACTTTAACCTTTGCAAGAACTGCTCACGTCTACCTCAAGCAGTGTCATTTTGAGCAGAATAAGGGATCTTCTGAACTTAAAATTCTGCCCGAAACAGCTTGAGTTCGGAAAACAGAAATCATTTGTGGATCAGCGGACTCGATACCTTAACTTCGTCGACTATGAAAAGGCCTCGGACAGTGTTAACGAGGAGGAGATTTAGCAACTGCTTCCATGCTACGATGTGTGGTTGCGTGAACATCTTTACAAACCTCATTCAACATCTTTGGTATGGTGCCACGTACGAAGCGATTTTTACAAAGGAAAGCTCACTGAAGCCTTTGAAGTGAAGTCAAGAGTAAGAAAAGACTACCTACTATCACCGATGGTATTTCTGATTGTGGTAAGCTGAGTCAAGCGGCATATCGTGCATGGGGAACGAGAAGACGAGGATACGTTGTGCTGACGAGCCGATTCTAGAAAGTCAGGACTTCGCTGATGATCTATGTCTAATATCACACAAACTTTAAGATTTACAGTCGAATGAACAACAAGTTCGCAGAAGAGGCAGTCAAGATGGGACTTCATGTGAACACAGAAAAATCAAGGCAATGAAGCTATCCAACTAACAACACATAAGCACTAGTCACCACCAACTGCAGGGACCTAAGAGGAGTCCTCGCTACTAATCACCTGGACATCATCATTCCAACATCAGACAAGAGCTACAAATGGGGATATCAAAGCCAGGATGAGAAAAACAAGGTAGATCTTCATTACTGTGAAATCGGTATGGTAATCTACTGCACTTAACACGATGAATAGAATCCAAATTTTCAAGACTGATGTCAAGTTAGTGCTACTGAAGACTTCTATGAAGAGCTGCCTTTATTGGCTCCATACTGATGAATAGATGGCTGGCCAGAAAGGATGAGCAACAATTAACTCTGACAGGAAGCGAACCAACTAAAAGCCTATCGCTCAACAAATAAAGAGCAGGAAATACAGGTGATTTGAACATACGTTGAGGAGACTGTTAAGTGACATCATATACCAGGCTGATAGTCGAATATTACCTCAATAAGACGTGAAAAACACCGTATGAACAAGAAATAAATACTTGTATGCAGTTGTGAAAATGACAGTAGAGTGCTGAGAGGAATGGAGATGGGCTATTGAAGTCGCATTTTTCAATAATGGTAGTATTGATTAAAGAAGCTGAAATCCCCAGCATCAAACGTGAAATCAAATTCAAATCTCCTCTATGTGGTTAGCACACATTCTACTATTGTGCATCCGTTTAACTTACTAAACCAGTGCACTTCTAATGAAAAATTCGACAGTGCGAACTAAGTGTTCCTTGGTTTCCAGTGATTCTCTAATCACTGTTGGTTCTTGAGGATGTCGTAACATTCCAATGGGAAGTCATAGCGATTGGCATACAACATAGTTTGAAGTGGGTGTTGATCGATGGCACTGGATGGCAGTCGCACTACATCCCTAGCCAACACAGATTATAGTCCACGAGTAATTAGATTCAAACCCTCGACACTTAAAGGTCATGGATTAGATGTTTTGTTGCCTCTGAAGTGTCACAGATATATCAATAGGAGATCACATGTCTGCATAAGCAGTTATGAAATGATGTCATACAATCTTTTCGATTATTCAGTAATCAATAACTCAGACAGCTTAATTCAGCTGACGTTCAATCATCAGACTAGACAGCATTTCCAGTGCACACCTTTTTCTCAAAATTTAGAAGCTTCTGCTCAAGTAAAAAGATATAACTTTATTCATATATTTATTTATTTATTCATTTGACTATTAACTTACTAAAAATATGAATGAAGTCATGAAAAAGCCAAACTGTTAGTCAGCTTTGATAAAAAATAACAAAAAAATATATGTAATATTATTAAGTTTAATACTCATTAAATTGTTTGTTTTTTCGTCTAACACAAGCAAGCTATCGTTATTCCTGTTATTTTTATTATCATTATTACTATTATTATCACCACTATTTGAACACGAGCAGATAGAAGTGCTCCAATGTGCTGTAATCCAAGAAGAAAGACATTTAGAATGAAAAATTGTTCATTTGAAAAGGTAAGAAGGTAAGCAAGAATGCTAACAACACGGAAGAGGACAGTGAGACACGAAACTTGACAGGGAGAGAGAGAGGAGAGGGAATGTGTCAAAACAACTTATTATTATTATTACGATTACATAATAGTTAGGATTTAATAATGATGCTAATAATTATAACAATAAATAGACATAAATTCAGCTAATTGAATATAACAAACATATTATTAGACAATAACAATCAATAACACATAAATTATTAAAATATACGAAAATCTTTGTACAGTTATCACAGTTGTGCCGGTGCCGATTGAGTATACGTTAGAGATATTAGAAAAATTTAAAAATAACTAAAAATAGTAGTAATAATACTATTAAAAGTAGTATAATATCAATATTGGTAGTGTTCGTAAGTAACACACACACATAGACCCTGAAAGATATGTAAATGTCCTTGATAAAGTAGAGAAATACGAAAAGGTGGAGGGGAATCATCCAGAAAAAATAATATTAGGAAAAGAAAACCACACAAAGAGAATGAAACTAAAGCAAATTAGTAGACAGAGAAAGGCTGTGCGAAAATATTCCGCAGTCCTGTGTGTAATGAGAGACAGTTTACAGTTTTTAATCATTATTGGTGATGAATAGCCTTCGTTTTCCTCTTCTTTAGTGAATTTTCTTATCAATTACATTTCAAAATATGAGTTGCTTTTTTTTACTTAATAATCGATCTAAAGTCACACAAATGAATTGTGTGTGCTCATAAAAGCACATTAAGTGTGTGGGAGTCAAAAATGAATACCTATCAGGATTAAGGCACTCCCTCTCCATTCGTCCCTTTCTCAGTCTGTGTCTCTCTGTCGCATGAAATACAGAATAACATAGTGTTAAAAAGTAAAGACAAATAGGTGGTAGTTTAAACAAAGCTGAAGTGGGACACCATGATCACACAATTACGTAACTTGATCACATCCATTGTTTACTTCATATAAGGTAGAAAAAGGAATGGTCAGAAGAATAGTGTGAGTTGTTCACCTCCACACCTGATGGTGTTTAATAGATTAGTTTCAAACAAAAAAGAGAGAAGAAAACAACGAAACGAAACCTCACTATAATAAAAAGAAAACGGCATATATAGAGTTAGTTATGTCTCTAAATGTTTTTTTTTTAAAAATTCTGTTAACTAATATGTTGTCTACACTCTTACTACCACTACTATTTTCAATATAATTCCATTTTGACTTCATATCTTCTCATGCAGTGTACGATCGATCTGTATTGAATACGATAACAAGAGAAACAAGAGACGAAGACGAAGAACGAGAACAAGAAGCAGAAGAGATTGTTATGTTGGTGCTATCAGTGTAGGATTCATTGGAAATGTTTTACGCAAGCCTAAACACTTTTCACGATCAATGTACAGACTGTTTGTTTTAATTGATAAATCTAATTCTAGATGACTTTTTATACGCAACAATTCTTGATGAGCTGATTGTATGTCAGTTAGCTGATTGACAAGTTGATCAACAGATTCTTGTAATTCTGCTATTTCACGCAGTAATCTAAAAATGTAGAGAGAAAAAAACAAACAAACAGGTGAAGATTAATCAACTAAGCAAAGTGATGGAGAAGGAGTGTAGCTACTCAGGTGGGTGATTTTGATATGTAGTTGTGTTCTCTGAGCTAGCTGGATAGTTTATTTGAGAGGCTTTCGTTGCCCTACTGGGCAACATCTTCAGTGCAGACTTTAACTTGATGGAAGTGAACTTGTAGATTTCTTCACGAGTTTACTAGCCATCTCTCATGGTGGGTGAACCTGAATCTGATTGGTTGTTTTTGTGTGTTTTCACACCCTCTAGTCTACTTGTATTGGTTGGTATTGATTGTTTCCTTTCTTGTCAAATGTCTAAGTGACTGCTCTAAACTTAATGGCTTCTTATCAGAAATCAGCCACTGGCCCAAGGAAAACAGTCTTACCTTAAACCCCTCCAAATGCCGAACAGTCAATTTCACCTTTAGGCATGAATCTGACCTAAACAAACTGGTTAGCTCTCACGAGGTGTGCAACATACATGGCACTGAAATAGAAACCAAGTCAGAAATTAAATACCTAGGCGTTATTCTACCTGCTGATCTTTCCTGGTCGTCTCATATCTTGACGATTTCTAAGAAAATATTCCGTCTTACCTTCTAAATCAAGAAGTTAAATTATTCTGGAATAACCCAACCCTTACTCTTACGATTCGTTAACTTTCGCATTCTGCCTATTATTCTCTGTTGTTCCCACTTAGTTTTTCCCGGGCTACTGAAGAAGGACTATACCTTACTACGTAGGGTGTTAAAGGTCGTCAGCAGGGTAAGCAACGTGCCACTTAACCAGCTTGTTAATATTCTGGTTGACGGGCACATGGACTCATGTGAAAAATGGGCCAAATCCATTCTATCTAACTCACACCACCCTCTTCACTCACAACTCTCCCCTTGTATCTCATCAGGTAAAACCAGAAGGCTATATAGAAAACTATATGCTCGCACCAGCAACTACAAAAACTCAACCATACCCTACTTAGCTCGTGTTCTGTGCGGTAAAGAAAGCATTAGGCGTGATACCTATAACTTATTAAATAGTCAGTAGAACATCTAGATCTCGTCTTTCCAACTCATATCATTTATAGGTACAACATTTTCTTTCTTTCTTTTCCTTTTCTCTCTCTCTTTTCCGTTATGTGCTGCTTTGTTTCTTTCTTCCGCTTAAGCCAGTAAATATGACAGCACCTACTTTCCTAACACCTTCAAACACTGATCAACTTTGGCTTTGCTACCGACATGCCAATATGTTGTTGTCATAATGAACTGAGATTTCCTTAATCTATGTAGAATTCTATTTATTGATAATGTACTAACTGAATGCAATACTGTAGTAAAAATGCTGAGAATTCCATTCTGTATCACAAGTACTGTTTTGGAATAAAGCAAATTATTATTATTACTTGAAGTTTGACCCTTTGTGTGTGAGATCTCCTTCTTATCGATTGGTAAATTTTGTCTATGTTGATGTGTCTATCGATTGACGATTCACTGGAATAACAGCTTTCTAAAAATTCTCTAGCATACTTGGTGTTTCCTCTGTCTAAAATCTGAACGTTGTCCCAGTCGAATTGATGTCTGTGGTTGTTTGTATGTAGTGATATGAGTGATGGAGTCGATGTCATGTCTTTTGAAGGCTAGCTTATGTTTATGGATACGAAGTCGAAGGAAATCTCACACACAAAGGGTCAAAGTTCAAGTCAAGGAAACAATCGGTTGCAATATAAGTAGCCTAGAGGGTGTGAAAACAGACAAAAATAACCAATCACGTTCAAGGTCCCCCACCAGGAGAGATGACTAATAAACTCGTGGAGAAATCTAAAAACTCACTTCATCAAATTGCAGTATGCGTGCTGACGATGTTGCCTAGTAGGGCACTGAAAGCTTCTCAAACATGCTATAGCATAACTCCATTATGGATAAAATTTTATTTTGATAAAGTCACACAGTGTTGTTATATAGTAATATTTACCTATGACAGCGTTTCTAGCACAATTTATTGCCACTCATAATCATATCAAGGCACTACTCACATAACTTTGTTGCTTCATTTATATACATAAGTAAAAATTGATGATTAGACATTTGAATATAATCAATATAAAATAATGTACATTCGGAAATGATAATATTAGTGTTATCAATAAAATACAATCAGATGGGAAATAAGACGAAAGTTGTTAGTCAATAAGATGATTGACCCCACGAAGATAAGTAATTTAGAAAAAAAGCTCAAACGCACTGCATGCATGAACACACAACCACACAATAGGGTAAGTGGGACTGAGTCTAAATTCTAAAAAGTAATCTTGGTAGGTGGTGAACGAGAGAGATTGATTGCTGAATCCTATCTAGTTCATCGAGTCTACACCTAACACAACACATGCAATAGAAGTGACACAACGCAAATACCAGAGATGTGGAAGATATTATTACCAGTCAAAATGGACAATAATAAATAACGTTAAAATATGTTCAATTCATTCACATTATAACATTCTAACAAGTTACTTAATTTGAATATTTAAACATCTTATTTCACATCTGATTGTAATTGATTGATAACACTCATATTATTATTTCTGAATGTAATTTATTTCATATTGATTTAATTCAAATGTCTAATCATCAATTTTTACTGATGTATATAAAGGAAGCAAGAAAGTTGTGTGAGTAGTGCCTAATAAATTGCCAAAATCATCGAAGTGCAGCATTTTCCCCCAATAACGGAGGCTATTGTAATTCGCTTCAAACAACCAGTGCTCTGTGTTCATAAGAAGCAATTCCAGCCAGCCCCGACTACTACCCTGGCCAGCCTTCAGTAGAGACTATAAATTCATGAATTTGTATTATAATCTTTCCTAATTTTTCTGACATTCAGTTTATTGTTATGTTGATGCTACTGAGCTGTAATCTACTTATATTATTATTATTATTGATTCGATGTTATTTAAACAACATTAATGTTGTTCATAACACTAATTCATTCATTCACTATAATGTATATATATAACTGTAAAGCCTGATGAAGAAGGGGTTATCGAAAAGAGTACTCTTTGTTCAGTGTCCATTCTCTTAAATTTGCCTCTATTTTCTAAATGTCTGAATGAGAATTTTCACTTCATATCGAAGACTTGTCATTAAAGCGTAAATCCTACTTTCTTTTTGGTCAACAATCTGAATCCTATAACCAACAGATGGTGACAATCATGCTGTATAAATAGAATACATCCCACATTAACTGTCACGTGAATAGTAATCAAATATGAAGATTAAAAAAATAACTAATAGAGATTTCAATATAGCGAAAATATTCATTCAGACATCTATAAAACATAAAATAATTGAGCGAAGAATATCCTTTTCGATAATCTCCTCCTCTTCTGGCTCTACAATTATATATATCTATGTTTATATACATAGAATATTCTAGATGAGTAGCCAATAACAATATTAGTTTTTTTTTAAATACTATCGATTTGTAAAGTAAGATCAATGCAACTACAGTTCATTAAAGATGCTTAAATTATAATAATAATAAAGCTATACAGAACACAAGCTTGATGTTAACCATGCTTTCAGGGTCATTTACCGCATACCAACGAATCTCTATTTCGCCATAAGAGTTCTACTACTAAATATTGCTGAGGCTGGCTGTTGGGATCCAGATTAAGAAGCCTAATTTGTGCGTGCGAAAGAAGTTAGTTCAGACACTATCCATACCAACTTGGCCATCTAGGTTTCAATGATCCTGAATTTCTGTGGAATTTTCCTAATTTTAGTTGATATTCTGTTTGTTATCATATCTTTATTATTATTACATCTTTAATGAACTGTAATTTAATTGATCTTACTTTACAAACCGTTATTATTTAGAAAACACTAATATTGTTATTGACTACTAATCTAGAATATTCTATGTATATATATATGTAATTGTAGAGCCAGAAGAGGAAATTATGGAAAAGGATAATCTTTGCTCAATTATTTTGTGTTTTATAGAGAAGATTTCATCATGAGCTGACATATATATATATATATCCAGGACTATTCGGATAAAAGGAGCGCCAATGGGATCGCCCTAATCAGGATTAATAACTGAAGCCGTCATGCAGAGATTAGAATTAATAGCTCTACCTATAATTAAACCGAAAATCTGGATACGTTACTTTGATGATACATTTGTAATAATTAAGAGAAGTGATTTAGAATATACTCATAAATTAATAAACAACATATTTGAAGACATCAAATTCACAAGAGAAGAAGAATTAGATAACAAAATCCCATTTTTAGATGTCTTAATCAGGAGAACCAACACAGGAGATTTAGAAACACAGTATATAGAAAATCAACGCACATAGATCAAATATTTAACTATATACTATCTATAACCCAATTCCTCACAAAAGAAACTGTGTGCAGACATTGTTTAAAAGAGTTCTAACACATTGTAGCACTCCAGAGTTGGAAAGAATTGAAGAAAAATACCTACAAACGGTCTTCAAAAAGAATGGTTATCCACAAAATTTCATCAAAAAGTGTTTAAAATCGAATCACAACACCAACAAGGAATCATCACCAAAGAACACAAGAAAATTCATCCTACCATATTTAAAAAAACATCTCTGAAATAACAGCTAGAATACTGAAACCATTTGAAATAGATATAGCACACAAGCCAGTCAAATCACTTAATTTTATATTGTGCAGACCGAAAGATCCAACAGAAAAAGGAGATAAAATTAATACCATTTACAGAATAAATTGTATGAACTGCAACAAACATTACATCCGCCAAAGTGGGCGTCCCCTTCGAATTAGAATCCAGGAACACAAATCAGCCGCGAAAAGACATGATGTATATATTCTTTCATATCAATGCATGCGGATAATTATGGACATCAGTTTGATTGGGATAATGTAGAAATTTTAGACAGAGGATGCCAGGGAATTCCTAGAAGCCTCAAACGAATACTGAATTTACAAACACGTTAATATAGACCAAACAGACCAACTAATAAAAAGAAAATCATGTGACCGGAAAGTTCAAAATCCAAGTCAATAGAAAATGATCAATACGTATGTAAAGATGGTTACTGGGAGACTCAATTCTATCACTTATGTAAAAAGATTCAAATCAGTTCACTTTATGCTAAAAATTGCGCTGAAGATGTTGTCCAGAAGGACGAAGAAAGCTCCGCAACTAAATCAACCAGTTCAGAGAACACTAACAATTGTAAATCATCCACCTGAGCTACAAATCGTCTCTATTATACTGTAAGAGTTAGACTTGGCTTAACTTAGACCTAAATTAACCACTCTTACAAAAACTTCTTCAACGCTTTATGACCTTAGTTGTACTCTGCCTAATGTGCAAATACTAACGAACGGAATCAAGGTAAAAAGACTTGAGGTGACAAGTGTGACTGGAACAGAGTTATATTTACACAAAAGCAATATGAGATTTGATAAAATATAAGAGGTTATACACTTATCTGCAGTCGTGACGGTGGTAAGCTCGGAGAGTATGCCGGATGAAAGCACAACGAGAGAGCGAACCAAAAACCGTACAGGAGACTCACGAATCGAAAGAGGAAGTAGTGTTAAAGGTCAGGTGAGTACGTTCAAACAAAAGTTCGAAGGTTCAATGTACACTACAATACTATCAGTCAGTTAATATTACCACTTAAACATCACAAATGAACAGCATACAAATTACCCGAAGAATTGATGAAAGAGGCGTCAGGTAACGTTGAAAGATAAAAGTACTGGGTGATGACTAATGATTACGTGAAACTATGAGTCACAAAAGGTGTTCAAATCGCCAGCTTTTAAATTACAAGTGCAACACTCTATCAGTTGAACAAAGAGATTCAACTATATTAATCAAGTCATAATCATTTCAAGGCAATCACCATCACCACTACCATGGTGATGACTAACTGTCATCTCTAAAGATGAATGAAAGAATGAATTATTACAACACACTAGTTGATCATTTAGGTATTCACCTGTCAATGTTTGATCATTCACTGAATAACAGGGAGATGAGCAAGTTGTCTATCGACTCGAAGAGTTTCTTAGTAAGTTACTAAACAAGCTGATTTGAGCAAATACTGAGTCCAGCTGGGTCATCTGGTGGCTGACTGTCTTTTTATTTTTCGGGTAGAAAACAACACACTATTTTGATTGAGAAGCGCTCCACTTCGTTACTAACAGAAACTGGTGTGCGTCAAACTGCTGTTGTACTGTCTCCATTCCTTTTTTTATTCTTTTAGCATGACTTTCCACATTCTTCCAAAGCTAACCTCGTTAAATATGTCGATGATGTGACTATTTCTGTCCCAGTAGTTTCTACTTCGGATTTTTCTTACATGAATAGGTTCTTATCTCAAGATAACAAGTGGTCTCATCCAAGTGGTCTTAAACTGAATCCATCTAAATGGCATATTGTTGATTTTAGCTTCAGATGTGAACAACACTTGCATGGACTGGCTGATTCACTTTCATGATTCCTGTAATTTTGATGGCGCTGTGATAGGGAGTAAATCGAATATGTCTCATCCCGGTATCAGTTTCTCTTCGAATCTCTGTTGGTCGTCTCATATCTTATTGATTTTTTAGAAAAATTTCCGTTAGACTTATCACATAATGAAGTTATAACTTTCCAACACAACCAAACTTTTTCTCTTACAGTTTGTTAATTCATGCATTCTGCCCATTCTCCGTTATTGTTCACCCCACTTAATCTTCCCAGCTGGACTTCTCAAAAAAGGACTATATTATACTACGTAGAAGACTGACGACCGTAAGTAGGGTTAGTGGTGTGCCTGTGAATCAACTAACTGACATTATTTTCAATAGGTATTTCAATTCTTACAAACAGTAAGCCCAAGCTATATTGTCTTTATTCTCAACCTTCTCTTTGTATCTCATCGGGTAAAACCAGATTAAACTTCATAAGAATTCACGGTAGTACAACTAAATATTCTACCATACCATATTTAGCACGAGTGTTGGTTGTGTGAAGAGAGAGTCAGATGTCAGAAAGGAGCTTAGAAACTTTTTAAACCAGCAATCTGAACTGCAAAGTATAAGTAAAGATTATTATTATTATTATTATTATTATTATTACATGTATTATCTATGATGCCATCTACTTATACTTCATTATGTTTCCACCAACATTCTGTTTACAATGGTTTCATTATGAATATTATTATTATTCCTATTACATATTTTATTTATGTACATATTTATGTGAACAGTGGTAAATTGTTGCAATATGTAGAAACGAACGCTGAAAATTCCACTCTGTATAATTATTACTATTGTTTGGAATGAAGTGATTATTATTGTTATTATTATTATTACTATTGGATAGTCGCGCGTCGGTGGTATAGCGGTTAGGACGCTTGCCGACCATGCACATGGTCTGGGGCTCGACTCCATGCCGACGCACTCCTTTACCTCGCTAAGCCAGAAATAATGCTAGTCAAGAGGAAAGGTTGGGCATGAGGCTAGCAACCCCATCCTGTAAAATAAACACTGCTACAAAAACTTCAAGCCACTAGCTTGAAGCCCTATGTTCCACTGGGGAACGTGAAGAAAAAAAATTGGATAGTCACAACATGTTTGGAGAAATGTAACCAGCCTCCAGTATATATATATATATATATATATATATATATACTGGAGGCATTTATCGTAAAGCATTTCATATATTACTCATTTGATCATAAACAATAATTGAATAGTAACAAAACAGACATGCAAGTGAAAAGCAACAAGTTGGCGATAGAAGTAGCATGAAAGATAGGACTTCAGGTGAACATACAGAAAAAACAGAGGTGATGCAGATTCCTGGCCAACAGTTGCAGCAACAATATCAACAGACAACAATCAGCATAAATGGGAGAAATATGAAAGGAGCAACCTCCTTCACCTACCCACCTACTTACATACCTAATTGGGAAGCATCGTTTCAACTACAGGAAGACGGAACTGATGAGAATATCAAAGCAGAGAGGATCGCGAAGGCAAAACAAGCTTTCATTACTCTCAAGTCTGTGTGGAGATCAACAGTACTCCTCAGCATTTAAAATAAGATCCGGATTTCCAGCTCCAATGTGAAGTCAGTCAGTGCTACTATACGGATCAGAGACTAGAGCAGAGAGTGAGAAAGGGTAGTTAGAACAAACTACGTACATTCATCAACAGCTGTCTTCGCTCAATACTACTCAGGATCAGATGGCCGGCCAGAAAGGTTGAGCAACAGGATGGAATCTTTCGCAATTTGCGAACGAACCCATCAGGAGCCAATTGTGCAACAAATATACAGGAAGAAATGGAGGTGGATTAGCCATACTCTGAGAAAACAAACCATCATCAAGGGAGATCACACGCCACGCCATCACTCGAGCAGAACCCGAAAGGGAAGCGGCGAGTTGGTCTTCAGTGCGAGGCTGATGTGGAGGCGGAGAAGGTGGTGTGAAGAGGAGATGAAAGCATGTGGGCAGACGTGGAGCCGGGTGAAAACGTTGGCAGAGGACCGAACGTAATGGGGAAGTGCAGCTGAAGCCCTATGTTCCTCTAGGAACTAAAGGAAACAATAATATAATAATAATAATCTAGACATACGAACACAACCTGTTTGATAAATAATTTTTAATATATATGTTGTATTTCATTTTAACCGCCATCCTATAGTCTTTTAATATATAACCATTCATCACATATGAAATAATACAGTAAGTACTCAAATGAAACTTATAGGGATACGTGAATCAAACTACGCGTCACACATACGAGGAAGGATATTTTTACAAGATATTTCGGTATAATATGGATAGTAAAATAATGAAATATTAATAAATAAATGGTCAAATTCTACATGCATATACCACTTACCTCATCTTCTACGTTCTCAAGGAGAGAGAGATTACATGCTTTTTTAAAATTTGTTATAGACAATTCAACTACATGATCACTGTTTGCTTCTCAAACTACTTTATTGCATTATCAGTTATTGAAGTCAACTGCGCTTATATACCACATATACACTTATAATGTATTAACGCAGAGACACACGCACACATACACACACACACACTCAAAGATTGACTGAAGCACATATTAAATAGTTAAGGACAAGAGATCATTCATGTCTTCTTGTTATTATTATTATTACTACTACTATTAATGGTAATACTATACTACTCTTCCTTCAGCCAATGTGTGTCCTAGCTATATTATTGTTATTATTATTTCTTCTACATCTTAAGAGAATATTAAAAATCACAAAAAATCGATTTCGTCTTTTCACAATGACAATTCATTTTTATTTAATTACTTTTGTCTATATATATGTATATATATATATATATATATATATATGTACATATATATCATATAAGATGTGTATATTGTATGTATGTAATTGAGTATACACAACTAGACTGACACACATTAAAAATGGATCAATACTATTTATATTTATTGATCCGTATCGCAGTAGTCGTAGTACACATACGCATATAAGAATTATAAAAATAGTCAAGAGAGGAGTGTGCTTGTGTGTGCGTTTATAAATATGGCATATAACTAAGCACATATATAACTGAGGCATTTTTGATCATCTCTCTCTCCTGCTGTTGATGTATGAGATGATGCTGGTAGAGACACAAATTTACGGACGTCCTTATTCTTATTATTATTATGACTAGTGAGATGTATATGTGCTTCATTGTATATAATTTTTCTGTCATATATACACATCATATTTGACCTTCTTATTCGATTTAAATATTACTCATTCAACATTTCGTTAATTAATCAGTTCTAAGGTTGTATGAAGGAACACCGCTTGCTTGTTTGCTTACTTGCGTAGTTGGGTGGATACGAAGCACACAGATATACACTTTACACTGTATTCATCATAGCAGACAAATGACATCGTTACCAGCATTTCAACAATAGAGACAAACATAGAGAAGAAGAAGGAGGAGTAGAGGCTGATGATGAATATGCCTTCAATGAACCATTTCAAATAAGTTTTTTAAGAAAATGTAATTATTATTACTATTATTGTTTACAGTTTTTACAGGTTATTACTGACTTTTTAATAAATACCTGTACGTACATGAACTCATACACCCCCACTCGACCTCCGCCACACACAGGCATACAACAGGGGCGTACATTTAAACACACATGCTACGTCTTTCATCAAAAACAATACAAAACACAGCACAACACAACAACTATAGAAACTAGTTTATACAAAGGAGGTGAATGAGTGAATGAATGAAGTTCTTGGAGTGTAGAAATAAAAATAATAACCTGTGTAAGAACACGAAAATACTATTCAGTTCAGTTCAGTTCAGTTGATAGTCTTTGAGTAAACAAAACAATGTTTGAGACTAGGGTATTGTAAAAGGGCTGTTTATATAAACATATGTATAATATTGACGAGATAGAAAGCAAAACAATCATATATTTATGCACAAGGTAGAGAAATGATTCATAAGAGAGTTGTTATTACTCATAATAATAATAATAATAATAATAATAATAATAATAATAATATCATGAGCTGCTCAGTAGATTATACATGTTTATTGTTCTCGATGATTCAGTGGTGGAACACTTGCCAACTGTTCAGGTGATCTGAGGTTCGATTCCTAAGCAACTCACTGCTCGTAAACCTTGCTCAGTCAATAAGCCCGGTGAAGAAGGAGCACTGAGTGTGAAGCTATCAACCTCAAGCTTGAAGCTCTATGTTCCAGTTGGAACTCAATTCAAGGACGACATACCAAGCGAGATAATTACGAGGAAATTAAGAAAATCAGTTCAAAGAACTTTTAATGCTGGCAGCGAACTACACGTATTATTGTTCTCTACACGATCGATAGTGCTACCTCGACTGAAAGATGAAGTACCTAGACTAGCTAGCCACTTCAAATTGCATCTACCAATTCAACTGCAACTATGCTTGTGCTTGTCGTTGCTCTAGGAACTTGATTTTTCGTGCCACCTTGAAAACATCTCTCACTATGGTTAAGTAAAGGTGTAGTGAAAACCATTAAGAGTTCAATATTGGACCATCTGGTGCAAACCGGCCGGCCACAAAGCCAGTGTGGAAGAATTCTTCTCTATCGTCATCTACCGGGTACCTAATAAATTGCCAAAATCATCGAAGCACCGCATGCTCCAAGCAGGGGAGGCTATTGCGATTCGCCTCAAACAACCAGTGCTCTGTGTTCAAAAGAAGAAACAAGTCCAGCCACCCGCTACTACTTCTCTGGCTGGCCTTCAGTAGAGACTATAAATTCATGAATTTTTGATATTATCTTTCCTAATTTTTCTGATATTCAGCTTATTTTGTGTTGATTCTATTGAACTGTAATCTATCAATATTATTGATTGGATGTCATTTAAACAGCATTAATGTTGTTCATAACACTGATTCATTCATTCATTCACTATAATGTGTATATAACTGTAATGGGCATTTTTGATCAGTTAATATTGTCTGTCAGCGACTACTCTATGTGAGTCAGAAACTTGGCACCAGAATTACGTAAAGCATTTCTAACAGGCCAATACAAATTTTTATCAATAGCCGCCTTCACTAGCTCGGTAGTGAAGATCCCATTATCAGCCAGAAAGAGTAAGCAACAAGAAACTTTGGGAACGCGCCAATCAATAAGCTGTCAGTCAACAGATATGTAGAAGAAAATGGAGATGGATAAAAAGCATACGTCGAATGGCACTGCACACCATACAGGCCTTTGAAACGAATCTGAATGGGAAGCAACGAGTTGGCCTGCGGTCCAAGTGTGACATACAGGAGATCGTGTGAAGAGGAGATAAGAGACTATGAGAAATCGTGGGGCCGGTTGAAGAGGACTGCAGAGAAGTAATAAACAACTTTACGTCTTAGTACTACCACTGAAATTGTGAATGTGTCTAATCATTACAAGATAAAAATGACTCAACTAAGTGAAAAGAATAACTATTTTTTCCTTTTTTTCTAACTTGACAACCAATAGTGAAAAGTAAAATGTCATCATCGTTATCATAAAATAAATTCAACTGATAAAACTACAAACACATATGACTAACAAAGAGGGGTATACTGACAGAAATGTGTTATGTATTTCATCAAGGGTAATACTAAAAGATATGTGAAGGGGTATGTGAAAATAGCATATCATCTAAAATATACTATCTCTAGGCCTTAGATTACCATTGACAAACAGAGTTAATACTTTTTACGGCATGCTTTTTGGTTATTTTCAAAAAAAAAACTTGGAATTCATGCAACAGAAGATATGCATATATCAATGTAAGGGTAGAATTTGTACACTATGGCAGAATACATTTCCGTACTAAATAAGTTCAATCTAGTGGATGGTTGGTGACTAGCAGTGGAATCCAGGATGTGTGTTTCGTCCTACTTGGGACTCGTTGCCTGGATCAACCTACATTCCCCAATGAGTAGTAGTGTTCCCACTAAGGCTTCTGACATGTGATATAACACACTGCAGAAGAGTATTAATACATAGGGCTTTGAGCTAGAGCTGTGGATTTTCAGCAGCAGTTGTGTTTTCACGGAGTGGGATTACTAGCCTTACGCCCAACCTTTCCTCCTTGTCGGGGTTGTAAACGGCTAAGGGAGGTAAAGGAACTGGAACCCCGTATCACATGCATGGTCTGCCAACTCTCTAACGCTGAACCACCGATGCACCGATATGTTGTATCAAACTAACGTATTAATACGGAAAGAACTATATACAATGAGTGCTTTTGATGTTAGGTAGCCTAGATGAAAAAAGTATAAGGATATCTTCGATAAGAACTTCATAACTGAATGCATTCATGTGCACGATATATTTAGGATTTTCAGAAAAAAACATGTTATTTTGGAAGATTAAAAAGTTGTGATCATTGTATTTCATCAATAAAGACTTTACTACTAAGCTGCTCAAATCACAATTGAATGAACTGTAAATGTGATTGATTGATTGATTGATCGATTATTGGACAGTAAGCAACTTGAATGGGTAGTGGTTTAACTGTAAACTTAGTGAACTGAGTAACTGTTTAAGTCACTAGGCTGTCTAGTGTTTTCTTTTTTCCAACAAAATACGTCAGATTTGCTGGATGTTTTACAGCTTGAATTATACAACTACATCTTTCAGTCGTGATCTGTACTGTCGCTCATTTTTGAATAAGTTTCAGAACCTTCCGATATATGAATTTCTTAAAGAAAATAGAAGAAACATATTACGGTTTAATAAAGCATGCTTATGGTGGGATAAAATGGCTTCAAATGATACACTCTCAAGAAGTCATGACCAGTGGGGCACAGCAGGTCGAGTGTGAGGACAAATACGCTCTCCTGATGACATTGGCTAGGGGTTGCGCTATATCGTAGAATTGGCAGAAGTTGGAATTCATGAGCTGGCCATTGGATATGGTCCTAGCGGCTTACTAACAAGTTCTTTTAATTAGTAAACAGTTTGATATTTGTAAAACTCTTGAACGGAGGAGCGGTGAATGCAGTTACAGACAGGAGGAATAGACAAGGATTAATTATCAATATAGAAAGCATGCGAGGAAGAACCAAAACTGGTATACTTCTATATGAACTGAGGTTTCAGTGTAGAGTTAATATACTTTTAATTATTACAGCACTCTATATTACAATGTTACAGGTATATGCATAATGGTCTGGTCAGATAGACGATGGATTCAAAAATGCAAATTAATGATTCTAACTACTGTATCGCAACTGTTTCAATAAGATTTAGTCAACGCTTAAAACTTCATTTAATAATATCAAACATGTAACACCTGAAGGTCTTTGCAAACAAGGAAATGTTCCTTTTCAGAACTAGTAATCATAACAGTAATACCACAGAAGAATATCTGAACAGTTTCCGAACATTTATTAATCTCTTCTCCTGAAGAATAAAGTTGAAAGAGTCTTCAGTGCAGTGGAGGTGCGTTGTGTCTTCACTACCATCCCTATTTTACTTCCAAGAAATAAGGATAAACTACCTAATTTTGCTTCCTGTATGTGTATCTACCAGTTTGACTGCAGCTGTGGAGGCAGCTACATCGGGCGTAAAATTAGGCAGGTTCATCATCGTATTTCCGAACATCATCCAGCATGGTTAAGCAAGGGACAAACAAGATCTATTCATAGCCTTGTAGATAGTGAGGATAAATTTGATGTTAACACAGCATTTAAAATTATTTGTCGAATTCTTACTAATCTTAACTTTGTTTTACGAGTTCGTCTTCTACATACAGCGGAAGCCATAGGAATCCACCTGAAGAAGCCAAATTTGTGTGTTCGGAAGAAATTTGTACAGCTACTTTCCTTACCTACGCCATCGTTAAATGAATGTATAAACCGGACTACTTCTCCCCCACTGCCCCTAAACCTTTAAAAATTATAATTGTTCAAATTATTTTATTATTTTTGCTGACTACTTCATCTTTGATTACATTTTACTATTGTCAAGGTCGTTTTTTTTACTTCAAAGGACTGTTACGCAACCAACTTGAGTACTCGCTTATTCCCTAATCACTCTTCATTTTTCAAAAATTATGCATCATGCAATCCACTTGTTGCAACCATTTCCAAGTATTGGTTTGATTGCATGGAAGATTTCATCATGAGCTGACATCAGTTAGAGAACCACTGGAAAACCTGGGAGTACTGGACAGCTGTTTCGCCCCAGTTTGGGACCCTTCATCAGTACGCACTCACCACAGGTGGTTCGAACCCAGGATCTTCAGGTTACAAGACTAGAGAGCTCGCAGACCATTAAGCCACTGGTACCGGATTCAGTAGCCAGCCCATGAATTCCAGCTTCTGCCAATTCATGACATGGCGCGACCACCAGGCAATGTCTTCAGCGAGTATTTATCCTCATACCTGACCCGCTGTACCCTACTTGTGACAACTTCTCACTAGAACCCCTGGTAACTAGCTACCTCAACAGGGTGGGTGCGTACTGATGAAGATTCCCAAACTAGGACAAAACAACTGTCCAGTACTCCCTGCAGGTTTTCCACTGGTTCTCTAACTGATGTCAGCTGATGATGAAACCCTCCATGTAACCATTTCCACCCTTTAATTGTGTGTATTAATTTTCCTCGTCGATTATCGTCTCCTGACCGCTGACAAGTTGATACTGACTAATTACTGTTAACAAACATATTGCTACTTGATTGGTAAATTGTTGTGTATTGTATTAAAAATGCTACAGTTATATATTAGAGTACAGCCAGAGTGAGATGAGGATCTAATTGAAAAGTTAACATTTCTTTTCTCATTCCTTTTGCTTTTCCAAATGTTTTCTATATTCAAATCTTCTAATTACCACCTAGTACAAAAAGCCCTACCAGTGTGGCATGTGCTACTGACAAGATTCATCAGTAGTATATAAAGAGATGTTCATCAGCACAAAAATATCGAATAGCGGAAAGACAGATTCAACGTCAAATAGAGCAAATGAACCAGTGTTGCGGCAAAACATGGAATACACGTAGAAAAGACAAAGAAAGACAATTTGAAGGTCAGAAGTAGCACAAAATGAAAGTTCTGTGCAAATGGCGATTTCCGTATAGGGTTTACGTAATTTCCCTACAGATATCTGTCAGTCTCCTGTCACACCAAGATTGAACCAAAAAATCTACAGTAAAATGATATGGTTTGACTTACCTGTCGTGTACTAATGTGGACTGTCCCAGTTATAACTTTTGTAAGTTGGTCGTAACATTTGTGAAAAAACACCTATGGAGAGATCATCCTAATTGACTGATCACTGCTATACTTCATTTAGTTCCTAGTGTAGATCATCTCTGCAATGTAGTTACCAGACTGAAATACTTTAACTCGTAACTACATTCTAATGATTACCCCTAATCATGTAGCACGATAATTCATAACATCTAAAATTGGTTCATGCTTGAGAATATATAAAAATGTTTTTAAAAAAAGAAGAAATATGAAATTGGTCGGAGGATTTCACCATGAGCTGACATCAGTTACAGAACCACTGGAAAACCTGCAGGGAGTACTGGACAGGTGTTTCGTCCTAGTTTGGGACTCTTCATCAGGCCACTGGATCGTGTCCCAGTGGCTGGCTTAATGGTCTACGAGCTCGCTGGCCTTGTAACCAGAAGGTCCTGGGTTCCAACTCCCTGTGGTGGGTGTATACTGATGAATGGCCCCAATTTAGGGCGAAACAGCCGTCCATTACTCCCAGGTTTTCCAGTGGCTCTCTAATTGATGTCAGCTTGCGATGAAATCCTCCAACAAATCAAACAAAATCCCCACAAAAAATGAATATAATATTTGAAAATATGAAATTATTCAAGAATACTTTACCTTCCATGTGGATCATCATGACATAATTCAATATTTGGACGTCTGTTGCGCAATTCCAATCGTGTTCTAGCCACTTTCAGAGGTGCTTGTTTATCAGCGATACACTTTTTCAAATATTCCATGTTCTTTTCAACATCAAATATTTCTTGATTAACCTGAATAAATTTCGAAAACAAAATTTGTAAAAATGATGAGATAAAAATTTCAACTATTTGTAGATTATAACGGATTGACAGTGTTAATTCAGTTTGACGTTATACAGAAGTGACCACACTGAAACTTCCATCAGTGTACTACACCTTGAGACAAAGTAGTCTTCTGAGGATACTTCTATATGTGTGCTTTTTTATGGCTAGGTAGAAGTTGACAAGAACACCAGTGAAAAGATGATGAAATCTAATTCTATGAAACAAATTAAAACAAAGGAAGAGGCATAAAAACGAAGAAACAGGCAATGATTTTATGTTTTGGATGAGACTATAGGCTTTAGAATTATTGATTTAGGTAATGGTTCCCGAAATTCCACAGTTATCGATTCTCATAGGCCATATATTCACAAGTCTACCGTTCTTTTCCATATTAGTTTGTTTATTAGATGTATCACACAGTGAGACAGTATTATTTACTGGATGACGAAGTTTCGACCACAATTCATTACTGTTCATAATCATTTCATCAATTATAATCACACGACAGGTGTTGAATCATTCCTATTGCATGTATTTGCAGTTGATTCGATAAACAAAGCTTCTGTCATCAATCTCTCCCTCCACCCTGTGATATTAGATTTTAAAACTGTCATCTTATCCCATCCATCCTATTGTATGCTTGTGTGTGATTGTATGTAGTGAGTGCTATAGCTGAACCATTCTCTAGTTTTCTTATCTTATTTGGGTCAACTAATCTAGATTTTGCTAGGTTTTTATTCTCGGCTAGTCTGACTGCCCCTGTTCTACTACTTTCACCTATGTATTTGACCTGTCAATCATTTCAGCGGGGCATTAGATAAACTAAATTGTTTTGTTTTAAAGGCTCCACAGGATTGATCCTTTAACTGACAATGCTTGTTTCTAATTGAGTTTGTGGTTGGTTTGAATGTCAGTTACTTTTATTCCTTCCTGCCTGGTTAGGAGTTCTGTGTAAGGTTTCCGAGGTTCCTTCCTTGTATGGAATGACTACTGATGATTTAGATTCCTAATTGTTGGTGTCGTCATTAATATTATTATTATCACTATTATTATTATCATTATTATTGTTATTATAACTATCGTTACTATCATTATTTATTTTATTTTTACATTTCCTTACATATTTCCTGACTAATTTATCCGGGTAATTATTAAGTTTCAAGGCTTCTTTTATGTATATCACTTCCTATCTTAGATTTTCCTTGGTACCATTTAGTTTTTGTGCTCTGTCATTTAAACTACCGTTCTTTTCACAGACGTGGTTTTATGTTGTTCGGATTTATTCTTATCTGCTTCCAAAACGAGTATTTTTTTAATAAACCGTTTCATTCTGAAGCAGATTTTGGGTAGGTGCATGAAGCGCATCAAACATGAAATCTCTAGCAGCCAGTAAATGACACCTTCATTAGACGAAACTTTAATCTTGTTCACTATATGACTTCTTTGGTAGTTCTGCTCCGTATCACTAATGCAAGAAAAGTCACTAAAGTTAGACTGTAAAGGTCTTGTGAAACATTTAAGTGTGTTGACTGTTTCCAGTAAGCAGAAATCTTCTTATGTCACTAAACTATAACATGAAACTATTCAAACACATGAACTAGTTCATATAATCCGTCATTTAAATTTATTATTATGAAACAATATATATAGATATTAAACAACTTCTATAACAATAGTCTAAAATAACAGTGATAAAGAATCCTTTTCCGCCCAAATGACTCAACGGTCAACAAGCTTGGCTGTGTAACCTGAAGGTCCTGGGTGCGTACTGTAGAAGATTCATTGAACTAGGATGAAACAACAGAGTATAGTACTTCTTGGTTTACAGTGGTTCACTAAATGTGCGTCGGTGGCACAGTGGTTAGGACTCTCGTCGACCATGCACATGGTCCGGGGTTCGATCCCCTGCTGACGCATACCCGATGTCTATGGTCGGCCTGGAAAATTTGGGCTACAGATATCCATTCTGAAAATTCCATACTTGTACTGAAAATACGGTGTGGCATCAAGCTGTAATCAAAAATAAAAAAAATAAAAAATAAAAATCCATGATGAAGCTTGAAACAAGTCAAATCTCTTCAGAGTAACTTCTGAAAATTCTCAGATTATATTGACTGGCCACTGGAAGGTTACCTGTGTTATGTAATTCAATCCTCAGTATTTAACAAATGCAACTTCCCCCACAAAGGTAGGAGAACTAGTCATTCAGGTACAATGAGAAGTGAAAGCCTTCTAATCATGACTCCCTATATAATTGGTGGATGGTGACTAGGAGTGGAATCCAGGAGGCGCATTTCGTCCTATTTGGGACTCGTCATCTGGATGTACCTGTAATTCTTAGTGAGTGATGATGATGTTCCCACCTCCGAGGCTCGAACCCAGTGTCTATAGCTTCAAACTCTAAAGCGTTATCCACTAGACCACTTGGGCCACGACAGCTGGCCACCTCTTGTGCAACGGGTCATATTAATTTAATCGAATTTTAGATTTTCCCGTCGATTGATTGGACCGAAGTGCTCGGTCTCAGGTTGACATGTCGGCTCCTTGTGCAGATGCTTCGACTATAGGCACTGGGTTCAAGCCCCAGTGGTGGGAACATCATCACTCACTGATAAATGCAGGCACATCCAGCTGGCGGACGAGTCCCAAATAGGACGAAATGCGCATACTGGATTCCACTGCTAGTCACCATCCACCAATTAAATACTAATTAAATGCCCAGACATCGTTGAAGTATCTACACAAGAAGCCGACATGTCAACCTGAGACCAAACACTTCGATCCAGTCAATCGACGAGAAAATCTAAAATTCAATTAAATTACTCCCTATAGTTTAATATTCTGAAGTTACTTAGAGTCTTCAGCCACAATAACCTACGAAGAATGTTAATTTCATCTCATTGAAACATTCACTGTGCATGATTTAGATTCATTCACGAAATCTACAGTAGGTGAGACGAACTAATTGATTTTCAAACGAAAGAGAAGTCGTGAATGAGTATGGAGTTCCCGCCGATGACATTGGATGGTGGTCACACTAACATTAAAAATTGGTAGAAGTTAGAATTGATAGGCTAGCTACTGAATCGGGTCCCAGTGGCTGAATTGTATAGTATCCAGCTTGCCTTGTAACCTGAAGGTCCTGGGTTCGAACCTCTGTAATAGGTGCGTACTACCGACGAGTCCCAAATTAGGACGAAATATTTGACTGTCCAGCTCTCTAGTGCTGGTTTCCAGTGCTTCTCTAACTGACATCAGTTCGTGTTCAAAACCTGAAATAATACATATGACATTGATAGAGAAATAAATTGCATACATATATGTACTTATGCTGTTCTGTCTCCGTTTCCGCATCAAATGATGTTTTGTAAAACATGTTCTTACATGAATGAATTAATATTTTAGCATGAAATTAAACTAAGAATGCTGAGATGGTAAAAGTTTAAAAGTTTGGCAATACTTGATAACCTTAGCTTTCTCTTCATCACCTTATTTTCAAAGTGTTAAATTATATGAAAGAATGAGTCATTTCATTTATCTAACTTTTCTATAGAGTATCGTCTGAAATTTTAAATTTTAGAGTTCAACTTTAGTCAGTTAAATAATGTACCTTAAAACGACAGAAATAAAATAAAATTGACATGATTTGAAGTTTTTTTTTTTTGATTGGACACTAGTAACTAGTGTGACGTGTCTAGTCATTTCCTTGGTGCAGAATGAATTCTATCAGTCAGGTTTGGCAATGTGGCCACTATTCTAGGTGGCTGGCCATCACGGTGCACATTGATTTGGTGATATTAGATAGTTGGAGGCAATCGGCAGGAAGCCTTACCTGACCTAGGTTTCGTGCTAGTTGGCACTCATCAGTCAGCAAGGCGTATCTGCAACCTTGAAGGAACTCATGTCCCTTCTGAGATTCGAACCCGCGTCACCCAGTGCAGCAGTCAGATACCACTGATACCACTGAGGTATTCGGGCTCGCAATTAACCTCCTGTAGGACTGTAGTGGGTATTTTGATCAAGATACCTACTACACGAGTGACACAGTGATGGATGAGTTTCGACTTATACACTCAGTTTTATTAGCTAATGGTTATCCGGAGAACTTCATCACTTGTCACAGTAAAGAAAGACCACATCTCGAAAAGACAGCTTCGGTACCAAAGAAAGCTATCTTTATTAACCTACAATTCAAGGGTGACCAGATTATGCAGTTGACAGCTCAAAGACTTCGGTCAGCCATCAAACGCACATTCTACGCCACCGCATCTCTAATTCTCACTTGACGAACATTTTCGATCCCTGTACCTACGATAAAAGAACGAAATTCTGTGGACTCTACTTCAAACTGTATCTACAAGTTCACCTGCAACTGCGGTGACACCTATATAGGTAAAACCGACAGAATGTTCTAATGTCGTCGAAAAGAACATGTTTCAAAATGGCTACTAAATCATATAGAAAATCCCAATGCGAGTAATCTGAATAGAAATTCATCAGCATCCATTGCAAAGCACCTATTAATGTCAGGTCACAAAATCAATATTAATGACTGTTTCACAATTATTTCATCACATAACTCTAATTCAAGGTTATCGAAGGTGATGGAAGCAGTTTGGATTGATCACATATAGCCTAAACTGTGTGTACCAAAGACAATAGACTTCAACCTCCTCCTACCATGGACTACTTGACCTATTTAAATATGATTGGTCATTAATATGTACTTTTGTGTTTTTTATTTAACTGAGTAATTGTCATGAACTTTATTTTATTATTGTCAACCATGTTAGTTGTAAAGCGGTTGTAAAGAAACTACGAAATGACGGTATCATCTCGCGAAATTTGTCTTCTAAATCCCTTCCTTATTCAAATTTATCAAAGGGACTAATTGTTTTAATATACCAAAAAGCCTAAATCTCAAAGGAATGACCGTTTACGGTAATGCTATTGACAGCTATCCTGTCGACACGGGTCATGAGGTGGACACCATCAATTCTTTTGAAGTTATCGATAAGCAAAATAACTCAATTATTCTCAAGTTTACGAAAGTAATTTCTATCAAGTGCCTGAAACTCGATTTATGTGTTCAGAAAGTAGCAGTTATAAGCCTTTCCTTGTCCTGATAACTGGATGTTTTTGCTCTCTCTTCCATTTGATTACATAATCTTCGACTTTTACCTCCACCGCCTTTGATGCAGTGTAATTTTTCTGGTCTTATGTTTCTATGATTTGAGCTGAACTCACAACACCGTCATACAGTTGTTTACTTACTCATAATCTCATTTACCTCCTGTCTTTGTTACGCAACTCTTTTACCACTGTATGTAAGGTTTTACCTACGTTTAAACTTGGACTTTCTGGGAATAAACTGTATAAGTGTAATTTATGAGGACTGTTTATTAAGTTTAGCGTCCCCTGTCAAATTGACACTATGTAACATTTGCAAGCATATTAAAATCCTATTCTGTAAATAAATCTAATAATTCCTTTGGGCTGTACGTAGCTAATAAAAAGCCAATGAAATAAATGATGGTGCTATCTTATTCTGCACATACCATTGTTGTTCTTGCCTTCTTCAAATGGGAATATAACTATTTAAAATCAAATCACCAAACCATTGAGAATCAAGAAATAGTGAATGGCCCTTTACTTCTAGTTTGAAGCATTCCAGTTTTTCTCACCACTGACCAAATAATTCTGAACATATTGTTAAGAATTAAAAGTCTACATATGAGCAATTGTTTCATATGTTCATCAGAAAATTTTAACCCTAGTTTTAGATTCATCGGCAGTACGCACTCACTGTTTGGGTTCGCACCCAGAACCTTCCGGTTACAAGGCAATCTCGTATATCGTTCAACCACTGGGACCCAATTCAATGGCTAGCAAAAGAATTCAAACTTCTACCAATTTATGACTTACTGCAGGACGGAGTTTCCTGTAGTTCTAGTGAGAAATGGTGACCAGTGAGGTTCACCCACCGATGAAATTGGAAGGTGGTCACGCTAAATGCATCCCGAACTGGTAGGAGTTAGAATTCGTGATCTGGCCAGTGAATCGGGTCCCAGTGGCCGAATGTTATACGAGCTTGCCTTGTAATATGAAGGTCCTGGATTAGAACCCTAACGGTAGGTGCGTAGTGCCGATGAGTCTCAAAATAGGACGAAATATCTGGCTGTCCAGTACTCCGGTGCTGGTTTTCAATGGTTCTCTAACTGATTTCCATCCGTGGTCTAACTCGAAAAACAAATCAATTCCTTACAGATCAATTCTTGAAGGGAAATTTTTTGACGCGCGTTTTACTACTTTACACCTAAACTCAGTAGTATAAACTTGTTTTTCAAAGAAATGAGACCATAAGCTTAAAAATGGTAAGCACAAAATTTAGAAAACAGCCCACTGAACAACTTTAAGGTATACATGTAGTAGGAATGCATAATAAAAGTGGAAATTATTCTGATAGCAGTAGAAATAATAAATGAATTAATAATAAACATACTTTTTCCAATTGAATTTGTACTCTATTCTTAGCATCCATAATTTCTTGTACACGTTGTGATAAACTTGCATTAGTTGAAGACCATATATCACGAATTCTACTGAATACTGAGCCTAAACAATGTTCTATTTCTTCACGTATTGATTGGCTTGTTGCACGTTCTGCTTGAGAACGTTTTAAATTAGCACTTGTATGCTCAACCCATTTTTCTGGTACACTCATCCTAATTGTTGTTTATGCGTATAACAAAATACAAAAAAAAAGAATGAGAGATAGTTTAGACTGGTTTCATTTTGAAACGGTCAACCAGCTTGATCTTGTGAGCCTGAAGGCCATGGGTTCGATCGCTTAAGGGGTCGTGGGTACTTACTGCCGTGTAGTCTTAAAATAGGACGGAGAAGCTGTCCAGTAATCCCTAGCTTCCAATAATCTCTCTAACTGATGTTAGTTAGTGACGTAAATCTAAGAATTTTAAAATTTTAATATTATGTAAGCAACATGTTATGTGGAATTCTATGACAAAACGATGACGTTTCAGCAGACCTTAAAATCGACTATAAAGATCGATAACACTGTGAGCAAGATACACATCATGTGGATTGAAATAACATTACAAGCGATGGTAATATGGACGGGCAGGACGATTAAAGTCGAGAAACAGTAGATACCACAACTGGAAGAAGCATTAGACTCAGAACCTCTAGAAATTAGGACGTGGACACATATTTAGCTGTCATACTCTAAAGTCTTTTTCATCTGTCATTATACTCTGCTTAATTGAAGTAACCCACTAGAAGTCATCCTTAGTATCCATAGTTCGGTTTAAATAAGAATCCTGGTTAATTTAAATAGCTCTTATTACCACTGGAATAGGGTTGCAGTTATTCGTAACTATATTCATGTTTCGCTTGCCTTCTTAGTTTCGACTTTGCTTTTGTTGACAAGGTTTCTAACGTCGGTATAAGCACCAGTTTTCTGTTCAACTTCAGGAGGAATTCAGGCAATTTTCACTTCTCCTTATTAATATAATTTAAAAGAATTATTCAAGTCAAAGATCTCAATCAATGCTTTTAAAAACAAGCCCAGATAGAAGGCATTCAGCAGTTTCTTAAGAAAATACTGCTGCTAGAGACATCAGTATGACTAATGTTCTGTCTTTAGCGGAGAACAACAACCAGCATCAATCATCATCACTGGGAGAGATTTGACAGAGATTACTTCCTCCACTTATGCAGTTATGAAGCACAAGGTAGTGGAACGGATAAAGGTATCAAAGCCGGCCAGAATCGGAAAAGTGAGACATGCCTTCATCAACCTGAAAGCAGTTTGGAAATCTTCTGCTTCACTCAGTCAGCATGAAGAACAAGATTTGGATTCTACTGGACACAAATGTCAGTGAAGTTAGTCAGGTCTTCTATGCTGGTCAGAAACTTGCACTTCGTGTGAGTCATGAAAAGGATTTCCAACAAGTTAGAGATTTTTATTAACAGTTGCCACCTTCGCTGGCTGCCCAGCTAGCTCCATACTGAAGATCAAATGGCCGGCCAGATGACCAGAAAGAATTAGTAACAACAAACTCTGGCTGGCAACAAACCAACCAAGAGAGTCGACAGCTCAACAAAATATAGGAGAAAATGGACATGGATGGATCGGGCATACGTTGAGGAGGCTGTCGAATGACATCTCGCCCAACGCAGGCCAATGTTCGAGTGGAATCTGAATGAGAAGCGACGAGTGGGTAGTCGGTGCGAGGGTGGTATGGAGGAGATCGTGTGGCGAGGAGGAGATGAGAGATTGTGAGGCTAGCCATCTGAAGAGGAGAGGAGAAAATACGAGAGAGTGGAGATGTGTTGTTGAAGGTCTATGTTCCACTTGGAACTCAACGAAATAATAATACTAAAACGTTTACAACCTGCTGATTCACAAGTTTCCAATCAACTTTAGAAAAGAATAAACGTGGGTGGCGGAGTATCTGATTATATAAGATAACTGTTCCTGAGTTATATTCCTAGGTCTCGAAATGTACTCCTCCACTTTTGCTTCATTGGCTTTTTTCAATCAAATGTGAATTTCGCAAAGAAGACAAAGAAGAAATATCAAAATGCATTCATTCACTCTTCAGGTCAGACAGAGATCTATCAGGCGATCTACTGTCAATTAATATTTTACTTGAAACTCTTGGACGAAGTGAAAATTGCATGCAATGAATCCCGCTGAAAAATCTGTACATTATATGAACACTGTTCAGACATAAAGCTATTATTATTGTTATATCACTGCTACTTGAATAAATTTGTATGTTTCTTGAAACTCACTAGTTACTGCGTGTATTTTCATCTAAGGTGTTAGTGTCGTAATATATGGACCGTACAAATAAAAATAAATCTAAAGATTTTTTACCCGGGAAGATCTATCAATGTGAAACAGAGACTTTTTCCGGTGATATTACGTAACAAGGTTGTATGAATCTAAAGTTCCTAGAATATGATCTCAAAGATGTCTGCCCATAAAACTCTGAAAAACCGAGTGAAATTTCAGTAGTGAAGATGAAAACAACTAGTTTCTCATGTGTATTCTTCAACAGAGCATATAAAGTTATCTCAAGTATAGAAACTTACCATCTCATTTCATTCATCTCATAAGAAAGAAAACAAAATTTATTCCAACTTACCATTTTTCGAATTTCTCAATATCACCATACATTGAAATATTGGCAGATGAATTCCTTAGTTGATGCGCCAGCTGATCCAATTGTAATGCTTTAAATTTGTCTGAACTATCCTGCTCCAATTCATGTTGAACAGCCCTACAGAGTCTGAAAAAAATGAAGGCCAAAGCTAAGTGGATTGTTTGCGTCACAATGATAGAAGTCATCATTAATATTTACGATTAGTAAATGAAATCCACAAGAGGTTCAACTATTATATATACTGTGTCATATAAAAATCGATGTGCAAGATTATAATTTCAGATTAGATATTGTTGACATTAGATGATTGCAGGCAATCAGCATGAAGCCCAGCCTGACTTAGGTTTCATGCTAGTTGCCATTCACCAGTCACCAAAGAACATGAGTTCCTCCGCAGTTTCAGATACTCCTTTTGGAATGGTTAGTGGCAACTAGCACGAAAACTAGGTCAGACTGGGCTTCCTGCTGATGGCCTCTAATCATCTAATACCATCAATTCACAGTGCATCGTAATAACCACCTATCTGGTGGCATGGTGGACACATTGCAAACCTGACCGTTAGAATGCAGCCTGCACTAAAGAAAGAACTAGATACATTACACTAGTTACTGACTAGTGTCCGATCAAAAAAAAGATTAGTTACATTATTCATAATGGATACTATACTTTAAATTCTGCTTGAAAATATATACTACTGCTTGATTGATATGAGTAGTTGTATGCCACTCACATCAACCAGTATCGCTTGCTAGACAGCCAGATGGAGGTGATCAAAGCACCATTTCGCTTGACTGGGGTCGAGCTCATCAGTGGTGTGCCCTGTATACCCAGCTCAGACAGCAAAATCACTTCAAGCCATCCATTTTCTAACTAGCTACTTTAGAGAACTGGTGTGTCGCCATAAATCAAATTCAAAGTTTGCAAGCTGATTAGCCATTTGCAATGTATACATTTTGAGTGGCTAAATTTCACGGTAGTTTCCTTTTGAAACTAAGCATTTTTCACGCCACACTATTTGATTCCTCCAGACGAGCGAATCGGCAGTCCGATGTTTAGGTAACCTTGATCTGACTGTCTATAAACACTACTGGTTGATATGAGTGGCATGCAACTACTCATACCAGTGAATCAGTAGTATATAGTTGTAGGCAAATATTTCTTGCTTTCTTGATTACCACCTGTAGTATCGAACAGATCACATGTTGTGATCTGAATAATTTGATTCCCAAAGAAAACTATGGTGGAATTCTACTCCTCGAACTATGTGCCCTGCAAATCGCCAACTAGTTTACAAATTGTGAAACTGATTTAAAGTCCATGAATATTTTTTCAAATAATGGTTTTGTAAGGATTTTGTTTGATTGGTTGGATGACTTTATCATGAGCTGACATCGGTTAGATAACCATTGGAAAATCTGGTCTACGAGATCGCCTTGTAACCAGAAGGTCTTGCGTTCTAACCCTGGTGGTGAGTGAGTACTGATGAAGACTGTCAAACTAGGCTGACGAAGCAGCTGTCCAGCACTCCCTGAAGGCTTTCCAATGGCTCTCTAACTGATGTCAGCTCAAGATGAAATCCTCCAACTAATATTTATTAAAATTTTTTTGTAGACACCTAAATAATATGTAAGAACTTTGAGTTCCACTTATTATACTTTGTAGCTGGATAGTGTTATCATGTATTACTTTGTTACACTATACCAAGATATTATATTTATACCTAACTTTCTTATAATGTGAAATTTACAAGGAGTTAAAAGAATGTAAACAAAAATTTCATTTTCTTACAAACAGTTAAGCTACTGACAAGTCAGTAGTCAGTAGCATAATTAAAAATACCAGAATATAATCAAAACGGTCCGACAAACATTATTCAACCTATTTCTGAATCTGTATTGGGGAAAACCAAGAGGATTTTAGGCCGGAACAAAGAATTTTCGCCAGATAATTACAATATGGCAGATTCTTGAAAATAGACATACTTACATGAATTAAACACTTGCTATTAAGAGCTGACAATAGTTAGAGAACCATTGGAGAACCTGGAAGTAATAGACAGCGATTTCGTCCTTGTTTGGGACTCTTCACAGTACGCACCCACCGGGGTTCGAACTTATGACCTTCTGGTTACAAGGCGAGCTCGTATGCTATTGGCAGAAGTAGTTAGAATTCATGGGCCACTAGATTGGGTCCCAGTGGCCTAATGGCCTAAGAGCTCTCCTTGTAACCAGAAGGTCCTGGGTTCGAACCCCGGTGGGTGCGTGCTGATGAAGAGTACTAAACTAGAACGAAACGGCTGTCCAGTTCTCCCAGGTTTTCCAATGGTTCTCTAAATGATCTCAGCTCATGATGAAATCCTGTAACCAATCAATCAGATCCCTACAAACCAACACTTGCTATTAACTCATCACCTGAAGGCGAAGCATAGGACTCCATCAACTAGAAAGTATTACGGAAATGTCTGGCTATGAAAGTTATGCTGAGAAAGTATACTACAATGATGAGGTCAATTGGTTCTAACTTGTGTAACTGAGTAAGAGCTGTATTATGCTCTAGTTTTATAAAATCCTCACTAGTCTCCCTGTAATTATTCTTACCGCGGTAAATATTCTTTTAGCAGAGCTTGTTTACATTCCCTTTCCTACATTTATGTGTAGTTTTTGAAATATTGCAGCTTAGACTATTCACCATTATGTGATAAGGTTTTATGCTGAAAATTCAGCTCTTTTCAGTACCTATATTAAACCTTTCCAATAGAATTGATATATCGTTTTCAGCTTAAATGAAATTCTGACTAAACAGTTTTTACACTATGTGGCATTTTCACGTGTACTCCCTCACTCAATCAGTGAACAGCAAAATTCTACAAGTTATTTTTGCATTAGCTACTGCTAGTGGACACCTTTGATTGTGACCTTTTCAGATAATACCCATGTGCTGTCTACTAAAACAGTCCTATTAATGTGAGCACATAGTATTTACTAACACTATATATATATATATATATATATATATATATATATATATCAGTAATAGAAAGTCCGAGAGTACTGAGTATCTGTATGCACCCGTGATCCCATCGAGGACCTTCAGGTTATGAGATAGGCATTATGACCACTCAGCTACTGGGATGGACCATGAATTATAACTTCCCTCAGTTTGGGATTCTTTCTCAGATGGCATTATGGGTGTATAGGTTTTCTAATTGATATCAGTCGGTGATCGAACTTGAATCAAATCAAATCCCTATAAAGTAATTCTTGAAAAGGTTGTATGCATTTTTGGCATTGTCTCCAAAGTTACACTTATCAGAAAATACCCGTGAAACTAGACCCTCCTTGTTATCGTGAATGCACGCGACAACAGTGAGCACATATGAATGATAGAGCTGAATAAAAGACTGAGATTTTCATACGTTTGTTGTTATAGAGATGAGGTAAATTATTGAATAACCATGAACTAAATATTTGTAAACAATTTTTACGATACAAGGTCGAAAGTACAAACTTAAAAGAGTATTTATTATTTATTTATTATGTCGAAGTCTTCAAATGAAAAACCCCGTGTTTTTGAAATGATTGACAGCTAAAAAGACTATGAAGAACAAAAATTTTTTGTTTTAAATTGGAATTCCCGCTGAATCTTTGAATTCAAATCTCAGTCGTTCATGATTTCAATAAATTTGTTTTATTAAGTCATATGAAATTTTTTCCGTCTTCAGTGTGTCTTTTCCATGAAAGAAGAAGAAGAAACCAGCCCAAAAATGACTTGAAGTCACTTTCTGTCTGTATAAATAAAGTATATTCGCTAATATAACATAAAATGCCTTAATGTCTATTACAACAGCCCTTTTCAGTATATGAATGGAACTGAGAGATTTATATAGGACCGAGTGGGATTGATCTGCTTGTCTTAATGCATTGACCTATTCTATTTCCACAAGACAACTGTAGTATGTTTAAACTCCTGATATTTAGCCTGTGTATCTACGGGTGACCTATTAGAACAAGATATATAAGTGAACAATATTGTCTTCAATTAGGTCTTCTTCAGGCTTTACTCTAATTTACATACACAAAAATTTTAACCAATGACGGCGATTTTGTAGATCAAATAATAACGATAATAATTTTCAGGAGTTGGTTTGTAAGGATTAGACTTGCTTTTACGAGTTTGATCATGGATTGATATCATTTCGAGAACCAATGAAATCCAGGGAGTACTGGACAACTGTTTCAGCCTAGTTTGGGTGCGTACTGCCAATGTACCACTTCTGTCCACTTGTTGACCGCTGTCATCCATTAAATGGGACAAAATAGAACTTCTTTTAGATTTTGCTGGGCCTTCTCCGAACCATGAAGGCGCCTGCGCATTAGTGCGTTTGTTGAACTATCTATTTGTTCGACCTATTAACTCACAAATACCTATTTTTAGTTATTTTTGGTTTGATAGTTGCAGAAATCCTTAAGACGCCCTGGGCTTCTGCTTCTGTCTCACTAGAATTCGTTAACAAACAAGACATATCTACAATTTTAGAGGAAACAAATGTCCCCTTTCGATATCCACACTTGTGTCATTAGATCGATGTTGTAGTTAGAGTCGTCATAGTTCATTTATTCGTAATTCATTTTGAAAACATTTTTAAAGTTTATTTTAAATTCCTCATATCCTGAGTGGAACGTAGGCCTCCAAACTATGAAGCATCAGTAGGGCTGTAGTTTTTTACAGGATGGAAATGCTATCTCACTCTCCTCTCTTTTCCAGGCTTACTATTGGTTAGTAAATTAGGTTGTGTTTAGAAGTAGGTCAGCCTAGAATCGAACCTTGAATCAAGTATGTGGAAGATATATATGTTGCTTAAAAGTGACTAGACATCACAGACAGCTTTCTTATACTATTAACACATACTCTAAAGATTAAAAGTAATTCAGGTAAAAAAAACAAGTGAGCAAAAACATAAGACCAATTATTAACTGGTAAAAATATACCAGCAAATAAAACATAAGTGGATGTAGAATAATGAAAATAATTACTGTTACAGGAGTGACAGCAACGTATCCAATATCAAGAACAATCTGTTAACTTTTCATTTATATCGAATGAATCACTGAAAATAGACCTAGAC